TGTGCATCACTTGCTTTGTATATTCTATTATTATTATTATTACATCATCATTATTATTATTATTATTTTATTTCAATTATTAAACTGTTCTTATCTCAACCCACGAGTTTTCTCACTTTTACTCTTCCCATTCTCTCCCCCGTCCCACTGCGGGTGGGGAGACGGAGCGAGCGGCCGTGTGGTGCTCAGTTGCCAGCTGAGGTTAAACCACGACACAACATTATTCTCATCCTAAATGCAAAACACAGCACTCTACCAGCTACTAGGAAGAAAATTAACTCTATCCCAGCCGAAACCAGAACACCAGTGAAAGAAGGAGACTTTGCCAACCACCAAATGAGATCACTGCTGGCACACAGCTTGCAGATACTGAATGCGGCATCCAAAAGATAACCAGGACTGACAGATTAGTTCACCCTACGGAGAAAGAATATTCCCTGGCTGGCTTTTTGGCAGTGATACCATGTGACTGAAACCAGCCCTGGGGAAATCGGATCCTACACTAATAAACTTACAAATAAAAATTATTCATACGAGCTCCCTACCTATGCTCAGAAGCTGTTCCTCAGGGACCTGGTTACACGCGACAGCTTCACTTTGCAGCCTGGAAAGGACCCTGGCACTTTCTTTAATCATGTTACAAGCCCAGACTGTTCCCATTCAGACACACAAGGGGAGAAGCCAAATCATCCGTTACAATGATGCTACAGCACAGGAGTATCTGTCTTTGCATTTCATCTGAGAGCAGAAATCTCTCCCTCCCACTCCATTGATGCAGTCGGAAACTTCTCAAATACTTTAAAACAGATTTTACAGACAGCTGAGTTTTGCCACGAGTTCAATTTGGGTTGCGGGCGATGAAAGGTCCAGTTAACCCCGTCTCCTGACGGCAGCTAGAGCTCCCGGTCCTCCCTGTATTTTCCCCCGTGTCCAAAAACCATTTCCTCCAGCCATTGTTTTTATTCCCCACGACTTTCTGCTCTCCTGGAGCATTCACGTACTGATTCAGCCTCCGAAAGCAGGAGAGCTTTCTGTTACATTGCAAGAAAAAAGACCATTGCAACGATTTGTTCTTAAACCTCCCCGCCCCCCCCCCTTTTCTTCCAGACACGGCAAACGAACTGTAAACAGTCTCTTTCCAGAAGCAGCTCACCTGCATGGCATTTTAGATCTGAAATTACTATTTAGACTAGGATTCAGAAATTATAAACATCAAGCTACAGATGGTAGAAACAAACAAAAAGAGCCAAAGAGAAGTGAGATATTTATCTGCTGCAGCTATGAAACATGCTTTGCTTTCAACTTCAGTCAAAGAAAACTCAACTCGCTTCAGGAAAACTTTGTCGGCCTTTACAGGAATAAAAAAAATAAAGAAAAACCACAGAAACCCAAGGGAAAAGCCAGACAGGGAGAAAAAGGTAACGGAAACTGGAACTTACCTTCTTTCTGAGTCTCACTTGTCCCGTAATGATGGCAACGACATACATTTTTAAAATCAAGATCGTGCTGTAGAACGTAAATGACATAAACACTGTGTTTTCCATCATTTCGGGGGAAGGTGCCGCTCGGTCGCCTGCAGCACTCACAGCCAGCGGAGATCTTCCTTGGGCTGCCAGAGGGCTCTGCGGGAGAGGGGGCAGGAACAGCCACATTTAAAGACAACAGAAGTCACCACTGTTTCTTCGGCAAAAGCCCACAGCCCCCGTAGACCCCTTCGGGCTGGATAGGAGTAAATGATGCAGCAGAGCTGCCGGTGAGCAAACCCCAGCCTGGGACACGGAGCAGGCTGCCCACGTTGCTCCCACCTCAGGCTGCCTCTGCTCCTCACTCCCTGCCACCACCAGCTCCTCGGGGATGCGATGCCCCAAGCTGGGATACAGCCCCCTCGACTGTGTGGGCCACAGCAAGGCTCAGCCCGGCCACAGCTCGACCTCTTGCCTCCCTAAAACAGCCCACCACGATCCCTCTGCCTCCCCTCCCCTCCTGTTTGTGCCCAGAGGGACGGAGCTGCACAGAGCATCCCTCGCCCAGCCAGGCACTGCTCACCCAGGGACAGGAGCCGATCAGCCCTGGGAAGAAGGAGGAGTTAGGAAGAAGGTAGGCACCTACCTCAGCCGCATCCAGCCCTGTGCTCCTGCGCTCCCTCCGTGCCCGATCCCACAGCCCACCCCTCCGTGGCAGCGTTCTCAGTATTCCCCAGTCCCGCCCAGCGCGGGCTGAGCGCTCCCGTGGCAGAGGCAGCCAGCCCTCCCCTACACAGTCACCTGCCGAGGGATGGGGCACAGGGGACAGAACCATCCCTTGCCCCACCAGCGCCCATCACCCGGGGGCCTGGGCTGCCCCTGTACCCCCCCCGGCTGGGAGGGGAGCTCCCAGGGTGACCAGCCTGGAAGCACAACCAGGCAAGTCATGGACCGCAAAGCCCCAAACCTGCGAATAGAAATAAACACCAGCCTGCCCAGCCCCAAAGACAGCTTCTCCTGGTTTTCTCCGAGAGGGTGAATCAGGGCAGTTGGGTGTAATTTTGTCCTCGGTCTAGAAAGTGGCATTTGAATTTGGAGCTGGCTTTTCCCCAGCCATCAAACACTGGTGCAGAAAGAGTGGGATCAGCCTCTGCAGGCAGCTGGGCTGCTCTTCCAATGCAAACCTTTAACTCCTTCTTCCCCAGCCCCGGCCCCAGCGCTGGCAGCAGCAAACCTCTGGTGAGCCGGCAGCATGGAGGCTGATAGGAGCTCTCCAAGTTTGTTAGTGTTGAAGGGCTGGATTTGGCGTTCAGTTCCTTTACACAGGGGAAAAAAAAAAAAAAGACTTATTTCAGGAAAATGGAAACTTTCGGAGATTGAGTGGAAAATGAACGCTTTGAGGATGCAAGTAGTTTTTTAATTAACTGACATGTTGGAATAAAAAAAGTTGTTTCAAGCCACAAAAAAGCCTCAAAAAACAATGAACGGAGTACAACGGTTTGTCATTTACAAAACCATCTATCGAAGCGTTAGTGCCTCCAGGACTGGTTTTGTTCTTCAGGGCTTTTTAACTTTTTAACTGCCATTGAGCGAAACTAATCCTGTCCTTTCCAAGAGGGTCCAGAGTAACCCAAGAGGAGCATCGCACTCAGCCCGGGACCAGGCTCCAGTCCCGTCACTACCGACCCTGTTGCACAAGGACAAGTTTGTCCCCAGCAATGGGACGCTGGTAGCACCGTGCTCCCCGGGGAGAACAGGCTACAGGAGCCTTTTTCCTGGGGTGCTGGTGTGAATTTAAGGCAGCCTCGTGCTCCGGGCACAGCGGCCCTGGGCCCAGGTGATACAGAAGTACCGTCAATGCAAGCACGAGTCAGGTTATATGGGCAGGTCCGGAAGGTCGGCTCCTGCTCAGGGAGCAAGCCAAGGAGGAAAAGAGTCACCTTTCCATCTGGGCAGCGTTATCCCACCAGCCCTGACCAGCGGCTGAGGGATGCCACAGGCCAGCCCCCGCCTCTGCCCCTGCAGAAGGGAAGGTTACACCATTTCTCGTATTCCCAGCAAACGGTCAGCGTGGAGTCGCACCAGGACAGCTTTCCTGCCAGGATTGGTGCTGCGGAAGAGGTTTTGCTCCTGCCACGCTCAGCTCAGACGTGAGCTGCGTGCTCCAGCCATCCCAGCCAAGGGCTGAGCTCCTCCTGTGCCCATCCAGAGCAGACATCCTTCCTTCCACCCCAGCCTGCCCGGCTCCAGACCCCTGCGCTGCTCCCAGCCTGGCAGGGCAGGGCTCAGAGCCAGAAAGACCCTTCAAGCACACGATCTCCGTCCCGGCACGGAGATCCGCAAATTCTCTGTGTTTGCCTCTGAATCTCCCTCGCCATGGCTGTTCTGCCCTGATGCTGCAAACCCAAAGATGCCACACCGCTCATTGCAATGCACTGGCTCAGCCCCATGACATCCAAGTGTGCAGAGAGCCTTTGAAAACTCCAAACACTTGGTTTCAAGGGAGAAGCACTCACAGCTGGTCACCACCACCCTGGCGTCAGGGCGGCTGCAGAACAAGTCCCGGCAGAGCCCAGCATGGAGCTCCATAGCCCGGCAGTGAATGCCTTCAACGGGCTGCTTCCCCAGGGGTGGGAATGGGGACACCAGGACACACAGCAGCCGTGTGAATTCAAACACTGCGGTAAGGGCTGGGGTGTTCACCCTGGACCCCAGCCCTGTCCTGCCACCAAACTGCATCCAACCCCACTCACGTCTCCCTGGAGCTCGGCAGAGTATTATAAACACTGTAATGCCAAGCATAAGCAGTTGACGGCAAAGCCACATCCCAAACACTTCTCCCTCCCATCTCCCCTCTCCATAGGCGATAGGGAGCAAACCCGTAGCAGAGAAGACCTTGGTGCCCAAGGACTGGGGTGATGCAAGGGCCAGACCAGCCCTGCAGCAGGGGTGAGACTTTCTCCAGCAGCCCCTTCCCCAGCTCTCCCGGGAACCTGGGGCTAGGGCAGGCAGCCAGACCCTTCACCAACACATCATGCCCTCCATGAAGCCGCTCCAGTTTTTACCAGCTGAGGATCCAGCCCTCAGGCTCTTCGGCAGCGAGACCTTTTTCCTTCGTGCACCTTCTTCCCCTCCCGAGGCAGCCAGCACGCCTCACTGAGCAGCAGGAATACACGCAAGCTTGGTACCACCTGCAGACAAGCCAGGACTTCTCCTGCTAGCCAGACAGACTTTCTCCTCCTCAGCATTATTCAAGCACTGGCAGGAAGCCCTGGACAATTTGCACCAGCAACTGGCACAAATTTAAATTGAATTGAGTGATCAAAAAGCACAGTTTGTTTAGGCATAAGATCCAGGCATGGGTATTGTATGTGCTGGGTGGGCTCCATGGTGTATAAAAGCCATGTGGGCAAAGAAAGTTGCTTTTATCACGTGTTTATGCATTTCAGACCCTTTCACCATTACACAGAGCTGAAACCCAGTGGGGAGGGCCAGTGTCTGTTGGCACAGCACCTACGTGGATGGGGATGAGGGGCAGAAGCTGCCTGTGAAGGCAGGTGTAATGCTCCTGGGATCCCAGCTGCCTCTTGATCTCTCAAGTTGAGGGGTCTCGTGCCGTGTAGGACACATCCACTGCACAGTTGCACCTTCCTGGCTTTCCTGACCCAAGGCAACACAGCTGCCAGGAGTATTTTCAACCATCCCATGAATCCGGGCGGAAGCAGGCTGTCAATATGAACGGTTTCATCCTCCTCCACGGATCGCATCCTGCTAGGACACAGCCATTGCTTGAACGGGGCCAGGTCCTAAGGGCAGTATGTCTTTAAACTACAAGCTGTGCCTTAAAGCCTTTAGCACAAGAGGTCTCAGCCCAGGACAAGACCTACCCAAAACCAACACTGCTAGCAAAAACCACTGCATTTGTTTGAGAAATAATTAATAAGAATCAGGGTCAGGCTTTGAAAGGTTTAGTCGTCAGGTTAGGCTGACCCCAGGAGCTGTGGGGAAAAGAAGGAGGGTTTTGCTGGAAGAGGGACTGAACAGCAGGCAAAAGGCACGAAAAATTCATGGTAGATGCTTTGAGAAAAGTACTTAAAAATAGAAGTCTCTAATAACAATCCTGCTTTGGAAAGATTATGGACTAAAAATCACCCTCAGTTCCCACACGGGTTGTTATTTATTTGACCAGCTGAATTACACTACAGTATTATAAGTACATGTTTTTCCACTATTGCTATGCTGGGGAATTTCCTGGTGGCAGCTACATGAGAGGGTTGGTTGTGTAATAAATCCCTGTCAGTGGAGCGCAGGCACGTATGCCAGGGTGGCACTGCCTGGGCTCCAACCTGATCTCAAAGGGCAGCAGATGCTTTGGGCAATTACAGCTCAGATTCCCCAAAATTTTCCCAAATGAGCAATTACATCCCACAGCTTGGCCGGGCAAAGAGCCCAAGGGGACCGCTCCAGCCTGGAGGAGACAGGCAGGCGGGTGGCACTTCTCCAGCGTGCTCCCACGTGCTGGTGGAGAAGGTGCAGAACCCAGCTTGGATCTTGCCTGCCCGGGGCCCAGCAGCTCAGCCCACGGCTCCAAGCAGCGCTGAGCCACATTCCCGGCTTGTTCCGACGCTGCTGCGGGCGCCGGTGCCCTCCTTCCCTGCCATTTCTTCCTGCTTCTCCCAGCACAAAGCCTCGGAGCCTGCAGACATGCCCTGCCCCACTGATCACTTGCCCTTAGCTGCACCCAGCCCTGGGAAATCCGGCTGCCCATGGGAGGTTGCGCTGGCTCATCAAACAGCTACGTTTTCAAGTAAAGGCATGAGCAGTTTAGCTTTTATTAAAGAGAAAGGTGCTCCACCTGCATTCACTCTTTAGCCTGCATGAGAAGTCACATCACCGTGACGCACCTTCTCCCCCAGAGGAATGAAACCCCTTTGCTTCATCTGCAGCTCCTCATCCCCCAGCTCCTGGGCTCCTCACTGCCCTTTGCAGCGTGCAGGACGGCAGAAGATACTGCAAAGTCACTCAGCAGCAAACCCACCAGCATTAGCATCTCCTGAAACAACCGGGACGCTTCAGTCTTTGGCAAACTCAGGCAGATTTTGTCTGTTTTGCATTTTAAAGTGACTGTACTGGCTGGAGCTATCTGAGAGGCCTCAGGCATGAGCAATGTAGGATCAGACTCTCCCAAATAGTCCTTCACACTCAGAAGACCAGATGCCTGCAGCAGGAGAAAGCCAGCAGGAGAGGCCCGGGGAAGGGGCAGGGGTGCAGTGGCTTCGGGTCTCAGGCAGAGAGGAGCAGAGGAAGCTGCTGGTCCTCAGCCAGCCCCGGGACAGGGATCAGGCCCAGGGCCAAGTGAGAGGCAGTGGCACGTCCTCCTGCCTTCTCCTTCCAGCTCCATCCACCATCCCTTCCTGCCTGCTCCCAGGCTGCTCCCCTGCTCTCGACCCCTCTCCTGCCCCAAACTGTCATACCCTGGCTGCAGGGCAGTCACTATGTCCCCTGCCGCTGTGACAGCAAGGAGACGCTGGAAGAGAGGCCATCAGGCTGTGAGCATGTGGGAGGCAGATTATTTTCTCTTATTCCGAGCCTCACATGGATTCACGCCTGGGCTTTCTCTTAGAGGAAATAATTCCTTGGCTACGCTGCTGTGTGCCTTCAGGGATGCAACCCAGCTGGGAGAGGGGCTG